CCCCCAGCCTTTATAGGGTTAATATAGAGCGATTTAAAACAGACAAACCATTAGAAAAACACTGTAATCATATTCTGCCCTGGTATATTGTTCATGTGCAGACAAGATGTCAACTAGTTAATCACATTTTTATTGAACAGAAAATAATACTTTATTTCTTGTTGGTTTTATCAATTTATTCATTTTTAAAAAACTGTCAACAACGCAAATACATTTTGTTTCTAAAAAAATTCACATTTGATAATTTTTTCACAAACACCATTTGAGAGTCACATTCAAATTTAGACCGGATATAGCCATTTCTGCGATCAATATTTAAATGGTATTTGAAAATATTCAGTTTTAGAGAGGAAAGTTTAAAGGGCCCTGCTCCTTTGCCACCCATACATTCTAAATTCTAACTAAAACAGTTGCTGAAACTAGTAACTACCGAAGACGAGGATGATCTGAAGAAGAGCGAGGAAATTGAGAAACCTGAACAAATCGAGAAGAAAAAAAAGGCGGGTAGATTAGCACATTTTTTAAGCGGATTTAGGAAAAAGAAATCAGAGCTGAAAACTTTAGAATTGTGGATATCGATATCAATGCTAGATCTCCTCATTTTATTAAACTTTAGACTTATTTAATTAATCTTACGTTAATGTCCGTTGATTGTAGAAACCGAACAGCTAATCAGAAATCAAGGGTCAGAACTAGTTCTCTGGGATTGAGTCGTTAACGATCATGATGAAAACATTTCATTTTTCAGCAGATTTTCTAAAGACAATGAAACAACCGTAGAAGTTAAGAACCCAAAGGAGGAAAAGGGTTAGAGAATTTCTTTCATAAAAATACAAATGTCAACAAAGATGACTCTACCAAGATACGAGACGATGCCGTCAATTACAATGACTTCGACGATGACGAAGAGAATGATGATGATGATACTGATGATATTACAAAAGATTCAAGTACCGAAAACTGCTGTTAAACCATGAAAGAAGGAGTAGAATTTACAACTTCAATAATTTTGTTCAAAATAATTTAGAAAACGATTTGTTGTCCTCAACTTCTACACTGCCTAGAGTGCAAACCAAACCTAAACCTAAATGTGAACCTGAATTTTAACCGGATTAGTGTCCTAAACCTGGGAAGTTTCGACTTGAATAAGCTTTAATTGGCTTAATTAAAGGGACCATTCACATATTTGGGTATATATATATATATATATATATATATATATACTAT